CGGTGACGAGATGTTAGCGGAGTTGATCGCCCGCTACTCGGACACAGCTGCGCTGCCGGAGACAGCTGCGGAGTCGATGGCCGGAGAGGATTTTGTCCCCCGCGACGAGTGACTGGTGTGCCCTCGTTCGCGTCCATAAATCGTTTCGCTTGTTTGTATGACGAATCAATTCCTTTGCCCTACAACGAGCCTGAAACGAAAGACACACCCTCCCCTGCCCCCATTTCGACTCCGTCTCCGACTCCGCCCGCGACTCCGGTTGTCGTCCTTCGCCGCCTCACTGCCTGGGAAAAGAAATTGCCCAAGCAGTACACTGTCGCTGCCTCCCCCGGAGTAAACTCCCTCCACCTCCCGTTGGAGCTAGAGTCCACCACCAGTGCGTTGAAGCTCTCCCTTTCTGGGCTTGTTGACTGTGGTGCCACCTCCGACTTCATCGACACGAACTACGTCGCTCGGAATGGCATTCCGGTCCGCACCCTGGCGCAGCCGATTCCGGTCTTCAACGTCGATGGCACTCCGAATGATGCTGGCTCCATCAACCAGATCGCGGACTTGGTCCTACGCTACAAAGGCCATTCCGAGCGCGTTCAACTCGCCGTCACCCATCTCGGTAAACAAGACCTCATCCTGGGGTACTCTTGGCTGCGGAAGCATAACCCAGAGATCGATTGGGAAACCAAGGAGGTCAAGATGACGCGGTGCCCCCCGCGGCTGCTCCACTTGCCGCGAGGAAGAACGCGTTGAACGGACTGAGCTACGGCGACTCCGGCTGCTCCAGAAGCGACTCCGCTCCGGCCCGTTCCCCTCGGTCTGCGCCATGGACCTTTCTGGGTCTGATGACGGAGACGATTCCGTCTCCGGCGACGACTCCGGCCTGCCTGATCTGACGCCGGACTCTGACGACGACGATGACGATGGTCAGCTTGAAGATGGTGACCGCATCTTCTACACCTCGTTCCGTCCCTCGGAGGAGATACGCGCTGGCAGTACTGTCTCGCAGCGCCTGGCTGAAGCCTTCGCCAGGAACTCCGCTCCCCCGCCCTCCGAGATCCCGGACTGGGCTAAAGAGTTCCAGGACGTCTTCAACAAGGAGTCTTTCGACACGCTCCCCGAACGGAGAACCTGGGACCACGCCATCGAACTCGTCCCCGACGCTAAGCCGGCCAACTGCAAGGTGTACCCCATCTCGCCCCTTGAGCAACGCGAGCTCGACGCGTTCATCGAGGAAGGGCTGTCGACGGGCCGGATTCGCCCTCCAAGTCTCCGATGGCGTCTCCGGTCTTCTTCGTCAAGAAGAAGGACGGCGGACTCCGCTTTGTCCAGGACTATCGGGCCCTCAACGCGATGACAGTCAAAAACCGGTACCCCCTTCCGCTGATCAACGACCTCATCAACCGGCTCAAAGGCGCTCGTTACTTCACCAAACTCGACGTTCGTTGGGGCTTCAACAACGTCCGGATCAAAGAAGGTGATGAGTGGAAGGCAGCTTTCCGGACTAACCGAGGCCTGTTCGAGCCCTTGGTGATGTACTCCGGCCTGACAAACTCTCCCGCGACGTTCCAAACGATGATGAATGACATTTTCCAGGACCTCATCCTTTCCGGAGACGTCATGATCTACCTGGACGACATCCTGATCGCCCATTCCGACCTCCGGAAACACCGACAGATCGTCCAGGAGGTCTTGCGCCGACTCTCCGAGCATAAGTTGTACCTCCGAGCGGAGAAGTGCGACTTCGAAAAATCGTCAATCGAATACCTCGGAGTCATCATCTCCCACAACCACGTCGAAATGGACCCCGTCAAGGTCGCAGGCGTCTCCGCCTGGCCGACTCCGGAAAACAAGAAGGATGTTCAGCAGTTCCTTGGGTTCGCTAATTTCTACCGCAGGTTCATTCGCGACTTCTCGGCCCTCGCGCGTCCTCTCTTTGCGCTCACCAAGAAGGACCAGCAATGGACTTGGGGCGACGCGGAGGCCTCCGCGTTCCAAGCGATCAAGGACGCGGTCACCTCGGAACCGGTCCTGGCGATTCCGGACGACGCACGGCCTTTCCGACTCGAGGCGGACAGCTCTGATTATGCGACGGGGCGGTTCTTTCACAATCCGCCCCGGACGGGAAGTGGCACCCTGTAGCATTCTATTCCAAAAGCTTAAATGATGTCCAGCGCAACTACGAAATCCACGACAAGGAGATGCTCGCGATCATCCCGCACTCGAGGAGTATAGACACTTCCTCGAGGGTGCCGCGCATCCCGTCGAGATTTGGACTGACCATAAGAATTTGGAGTACTTCAGGAAGACGCAGCACCTCAACCGGAGACAGGCCCGCTGGTCCCTCTACCTCTCCCGGTTCGACTTCACGCTGCACCACAAGCCCGGTCGCGACATGGGCCGACCTGACGCCCTCTCTCGGAGACCCGACCACGGAATCGATTCCGACAACTCCGACGTCGTCCTTCTGCGGCCCGAACTCTTCCACGTCCCGCGCACTCGAGGGTGTTTCCGTTTCCGGTCCCGGTTCCGAACTTCTTCGCGACATTCGCGATGCCCTCTCCGGTGAGCCTGACCTGGAGGAGCCCGTCGCACTAGCGGCCCGGCAACTCCTAAAGGTCCAAGGTCAAGCTCGAGGCCCCCGCTCCTCACGCTCCGACGAGTGGGCCGTCTCCGGTGGTCTTCTCCACTTCCGTGGGAAGATTGTCGTGCCCAAGGACAAGGACCTCCGGAGGCGCATCATCGAGCTCTGCCATGACACTCGAGTCGCCGGACATGCCGGTCGCTTCAAGACCTTGGAGTTGGTCTCCCGGAACTACTGGTGGCCTCAGATGTCTCGCCATATCGGCCGGTACGTCGCGACCTGCGACTTGTGCTGTCGCACCAAGGCGCTCCGGAGACTGCCCCACGGAGAGCTACACCCGACGGAAACACCCCGGAGCGCTGGCATACCGTCTCCGTCGACTTCATTGTCGAGCTCCCGAGGCCCATGGGTACGACGCGATCATGGTCGTCGTGGACACCCTTGGGAAGCGAGCCCACTTCTCCGAGTGCCATACCACGGTCGACGCAGTAGGAGCAGCCCGCCTCTACTACCGGAATGTCTGGTGACACCATGGGACCCTGGAGAAGTACATCTCCGACTGCGGCTCGCAGTTCATCACGGACTTCACCCAAGAACTTTGGCGTCTAATTGGCATCAAGCCTGCCACGTCCACCACATACCATCCGCAGATGGATGGTCAGACAGAGCGCGTCAACCAGGAGTTGGAGCAGTACCTGCGGATCTTCACTATCAGCAGGACAACTGAGATGAGCTGATTCCGGCCGCAGAGTTCCTACCAACAACAACCACATTCACTCCTCATCTATGTCAGGGGAACTCTCCCCCCTTATTCTGAGCCCCCAGAGACTACTCTAGCTCCAGATTTTTTTTGCTCTGTTATGGGGCAGAAGTGAAGAGCAGAGCATGAGTGACATTTTATATACATTAACTTGAATGTCACTTCTTGTTCTTGTTTAGAGCAGCTCTGCTGGGGCCATATTCTAGTGGGCACCTAATTTATATATGTTGAGTCCTTGTATAGTCTAATATAAAGTCAAAGTTTTTTTTTATTTTCTTAGTAGAAACTGACATAATCAAGCAATATGCAAGTTGATTAGCAAAGGTCCGTATATGGGAATTTGATGGCTGGAGTTGATTGATAAAATCACCCTGTTGATTTTTTGATATCCAAATCATCTTCTTATATTCAGAATTCATTGAGAAATATAATAATTACTACTGCATCTAAAAATGGCAAAAAGTTGGGTTTGAACCCACGGTGCCAACTATTTTGAAATAATAAAGCCGCAGTCTGGGACTCGGACTGTCCCAGACTGCGGCTTATCAGGCCGAGTCCCAGATGGTGGCTTATTGCAGATCCGCAGTGTATGCTCTATATCCTGGTCCTAGAGTATGAACTACAATTGGGTGATTGTTGGCACATGATTTCTTACAAAGATTCAGCTCCGGGTGCGCGAAACCCCGGTGTGCCCTGTATTTGGTGCTTGAGCCATCGAATTCTGAAGAAAGGATTGTGACCAGCGACAATGCCAGTGAGCGAGACTTTACAGAACAAACTCCAAGACGATTCAGAACACAGCAACAAGCTACTCCCTCCCAAATCGTTGACACAAGCAACATTCGAGAGACGGACGGGTCGTTTGGCGGTCTTTGCAGCGGCCATGTCGGTAATCTGGTGGATGATACGGGGACTCGGACGGAAACGAGCAACGATGAATGGAAAAGGTGTGTGCATCAGTATAGTATCCGACTTGAAACTAATGGCCCGACAGATATTTTATGGTACTCCTCAAAAAGCAAGATTACCTCGGCACTAGAGGGTAACCAAGGTATATGGTTAACGTTTTGACTCGGATGGTGGTGTAGTGTCCGCGAATGAGTGTGCGAGTGCTGCCGTGTGTAGATGAGCAGTCGAGACTTGACATGCACTTGCAGTTGCAGACGGGTCAAAGCAGAACAACATTGAGCATCTCGTAAGGCGTGCTTGATCTCCACCAAACCCTCGCGGCAACCACCATTGCCGCGATCCAATCGTGGGATTGCGGAAGGTGAGAAGAGAGGTACGCGTCCGGCCAGTGTCTCTTGCAACATTCTTTGAGCATCCAATGCCCGGAGGAAAGCTTTCGACGCAGTCGCCGAAAACTGACTCTCTCCTGATGTTGCTACTGTCTTCCTCAAATCCACCAATCCACGAATACGCCGCCTAAGCGGAAAAGCGATCAGAAGTGAAACAGACCCGAAGACAAAAACAACACGCACTGGTCAGTTTCAGCGTCCAGCAACGCTGTAATGAACTTGGTCAGGGAAACATCACGAATGGGGACTGCTCCCGCTTTATCCAATTCTGTCTGAACATTTTGCATACGGCGTTTCCCAACAACCTTGATCAAGATGAGCATTAGTCGACCACTCAAAGTCAAACAACGTACCCTCAGACTTTGCGTCAGAGAGATTGGGCACGAAGTTGTCGCCTAAAGTCAATGTCTTGTTCTTGCTTCGCCCACTCTTCCGCTGCCATGTCCAGTAATAACAGCGCTAGCAGATGCCAATGAGTAACAAAACGCGAATTATCAGACGATACTCACCCGGTCCAAGGGTCTTCATCCAGTTCCAAGTCGTCGAGTTGATCCCATCGAGCGCCAGGTCCACAGACGCGTGTGCTTGCCTGCAACCCCACCGATCATGTTCCATTAGCGCTCAATACTTTCGCCGTCCGTCATACCCGAACCGAGAATGTAAAGTAGAGAAAACAGGATTTGGCACTGGATCAAGTGACCTTTGATGTGCATTTTGCCCTTTGAGGCAATTTGGCCAAGCGTTCAATCAGATATTTCATCCACGGACAGACGATGTCGTAGGAGATTAACTTGGGGAGTCTGGAGTTCAAGCGGCGCATGAAGGAAGCGAAGATGCAGTCCAGGTTGCTGTAGCTGACGAAGTATGAGAGCGCGACTCACTTTCTTGTAAGACGACTTACCGCTCGCCCGCTTGCAAATCACCTACACCATTAGGAAGCACGAATTCGTCCCTTGCGCAAACCCCCATACCAACACCAGTAACACTATAGCCTCGGGAGAACTTGGAATTTGCACGGTCCAGAGCCGCAAGACCGCTGCAAGTGCAATCAGTCGAAGATATTTTGTCGGAAACGAAACACGTTACCTCCTGCTTGTCCGTCACCGTCAACAGATATTCGCGATAGGGATGTCATTCGATCATGTGCCGCCAACCCGTTCCAAGACCAGGGTCTCGAAGCTCGTTTGGTCGTTGAGGCGGAAGCAGGCATTCATGGCAATGAACATGATATGATGCACAAGCATCTGAACGAAGATCAGATTATCATTGCCGGAAGAAATGCAACCAGCTTACTGGTCTCCTGGAGGAGCATCTTCCCATCATTCGGATAGGTGGACCTGGCCGCGGACAAGCGGGACATTTGAGGGCGAGCTCGCCCGGCCCAGTTCCCATCACGCCTCAGGTGTCGATACTGGCGAGAAATTCGCAAAAAGATGGAGTGACGGTCCGGTGGATTGATCCCCAAGCCATCGGTTAGCGACTCCAATGTCGAGTAATAGTCGTAGGCCGTCATTTTTGCACGCAAATACAGATAATGAAATCTGTCAAGACAAGAGAATGTGGCGCACGTTCGCGGCGAGAAGGTCGTTGCAGGATAATAGCCGGCTTTCAAGAGTTGTCGATCGCAACGTCGCGAATGCCATTGTCGGCAATTATAATTATGACCAAGTCGGGACGGCCAGTTCGGGGAAGAGGACATGTCTGTCCAAGCAAGTGGCCAAATTGGATTCGAAGGGCCCAATCGCGTGAGCTGGTTCTTACGGAGTAGACACCAGTCTATTTCTAGCATCGGAAGATCAGCAAAGATCGAGCGCGATAGGAATTTTTACCTCAATAAAATGGGTTGGGTTGGTTTCATGCTTTCGAACACAGCACTCAGCGCAAACCATGCCGTGGCAGGTCTCGCAATTGAATGAGAAGCACACAGGTCAGACTGCCTGCCACGTCCATTTCTCCATAACATAGCTTGAAGGTACTTGTCTCAAAAGCTTTCGGCCCAGGCTTGCATAGCTTTATCCTGTCATATGTTGAGCTGCGGTAAAGCAAAGAGCATGCTTACAGCTGGCTGACTTTGGCGAACACCGGCAGGGTTGCTTAAAGGTTCAGCTTCAGAGCCAATCTCGTATCTCTCCGGCTTGTCCCCGGGCAAAAGAAGGGAGGCTCCTAACACGCTAGATGGCTGGGGCGGGCGCGTTTGACAGGAGAGGAAAGTGGAACCAGGACAGTTTCGGCACGACACGTCGATTGTCGCTGGTAACGATGGATCGTGGTGGCAAGGGAAGCATCAGCCGGGGCTCCAACAAGGTCTTCGATTGGCCAAGTATGGTGATGCACAAAAGTCGGGGTACTGCAGCCCGGCGTTTTCGAGAGAGAGAGACGAGGAGGAGATTGCTATTTGGCAATGGGCAAGTCTGAGGAATGAGCGCACGTGCCCTGATTACGAGTACCTGAGTAATCGTCTATGACTAATTTCGTCCGCTGATTTATTATAATCTTAATACAATATGGTTTAATACTATACAAGATACTGACAAGACACTTATAAGTTTCTTATAGGAAGCTTAGAATTTGTAATAGTCTCATAAGGCTATAATAAGATGTTTCAATAGTATATAAGATACTGACAAGACACTTATAAGTCCTTTATTTACTGGAGACAGAGATGTCTCTGGAGGCTAAAAGGGAGGTTCTGTAAGGGCAACCCCGGAGGCCTGAGATCAAGGTCCTAGCAGGGGAGGATCCAAAGCGTGAATATTGGTAAGCAAATACGAATAAAGCTGACCTAGCAGGGGAGGATCCAAAGAGAAGAAACTCTGAGGGTCCGCCTGCTAGGTAGCTGACTATATACTGCTTGTCCGTAGCTGCCGCCGTTGGGCACAGAAGGCTTGGGCGGCGTAGCAGGCAAGGTCCCCGGGCAACCGTTGGGAGGGCGTTGACGGATCATTAACGCATCGGTGATTGTGCGGGCGAGATGGGGGGCCGGACCGGAGTCGGAACCAGAATCAGACCGGAATCGGACACGTCTCCGAGGGGCCGAAAGGGGACTTCCCCTGACAGGTTCTCCTAACATCACCCTCCCCTTTGAATGTGGTGTCTCAATGCATAGACTAGTGAAGGGTGCAGAAGTTGTGCACTGGTAGACAGTGGCTGCAGGTCCTCTCAGACTCACATTTACCAAAAAGATGCACAGCCAGAGTTGAATGACTGGCCAGACTGAATCAGGCAATCCTTCAGGGGCCTGATGCATTGTCAATTTAGCAGCAGATTGTATACTCTATAGAATTGGTTGGCCCTAGCCCAGTGGGGTTTGTTGTGCTCATTGTATTTTGGAACTTGGTTCCTATTAACGTCACATGTTATGAACACAAGCACAAGTGTGACAGTGCTAAATTGATTACAAAGACATTTGGTCACTGTTATAATATGTTTTGTTTTGATAGTATATAAGATACAGACAAGACACTTATAAGCTCTTTATGAGCAGCTTTATAATATGTTTTAATAGTTTTATAAGGCTCCTTTGATATCTTTTAATAGTCTTATAAGGCTCTTTTAATATCTTTTAATAGTCTTATAAGGCTCTTATAATATCTTTTAATAATCTTATTATAAGCTTAATCTAATATGGTTTAATACTATATAAGATACTGACAAGACACTTATAAGTTTCTTATAGGAAGCTTAGAAGTTTGTAATAAAGCCTATGATAAGATATTTCAATAGTATATAAGATATTGACAAGACACTGATAAGTCCTTTATTTACTAGAGACCGAGAGGCTAAAAGAGAGGTTCTCCTGACATCACCCACCCCTTTGAAACCAGAAGAGTATTACATCAAAGGTGGTAGAGGCAATGTGCTGTGGCTTACCTGCATACTTCCTATCAAACTCTCTGACCTCATCCAGGGCAAAGATATGGTCAAAGTATCACCTGCAAGTGTAAGAATCAGTCTAGGCTCTAGGAGTAGCTTGAATAAGGGTAGCATAAAACTCTAGAAAGAATTTTTTCAGCTAACAAAGACTTTAGAAATGCGTCATTCAAGTTAATACATTAAACTGATAGATATAATGTTGAAAATACTATATATACTATTATACAGTAATGCTAACTCCTTTTCTTCTGGCCAATAACCTGGCATGTAGTGGAAAAGGCCTGTATTCTAATTGGGATCAAAATGATATAGCTTGACATAGTGATCAAACCTACTAATGGTCATAAAAACTCACTCCACATTAATCATATATATTAAAGATGACAATCCCCATCAAAATTAAGGTAATTTTAAGACAGAAAATAATTAAATGAATAATAATATAATAGTGATTATATAACTAAAACATAGGGACTAGAAATACTTAGATTTCTAGACTACCACTATTCTAGCTATTCCTAAAGCTTTTTAAGCTAAATATTATCACTATGGCCCAAAGTGTACTTATTAATTGTATGACATGTCATAGCCTTTCTACCTGACAAAGTAATTAAGCTGTTTATACCTGACTCTGGCATCCAAGATCTCCTCTACTTCTCTTTTCAGGGCTCTATTCTCAATAAACTGCAAGCTGCAGTCAGAGACATACTTCTCTAAGGTCTTATAGTGCCTTCAGGAATTCCAGTAGTAGATCAATCGGAGTATGTGGGTAGATTTATACACCTCATTTGCCAACTTGCATATATTTGATCTATAATCAACTAGCAGATTACAGCTGTATTGCTAATATGATGTGCAGTACTATTCATTATTAGAACGGGGAATAACAAGATTTTTCATGCATATAATATGGTGTGAAAAGTGTAATCCTATAGGGGGACCCTTCTCATGCCATGTTGTGGAGGCATTTAAGTGTCTTGATCCGGCAGTACAAGTCACACACATACGTACCGGGTAATATAGCGGGACATCTGGGTTACCAGTAGTTCTGAAAGACCAACTCTAAAGCTATATTAGAATGAATGCAGTTTTTAATCTCAACAATATATACTGAGAAATGGTACCTTACCTGTGCGAGCAATAAGGTGCTTTAACCAATACAGATGTAGACAATAATAATAATAATACAATTTAGGATGATCACCTACCTTTGAAGTTTCATTTCCAGATGACTGTTTAGCTGAGCAAGAGTTCAAGCAGGGAAAAGAAGAGATGAGCAAAGAAGGCTCACAGCAGAAGGTTTAGTACATTGATTTTAGAATGAATGATTACTGTAACAAGACACATATCTGTGTACAACATGCCGGTCTAAGTATTAAAAGTGGTATTAGAATGGTTTTTGATCTCAACAATGCATATAGAAAAATAGTATGTTACCTGTGTCAGTTGTGAGGTGCCTAATCTGAAACTTAAGATGTACCTGTCCTCCTAAGTATTGAAAGTAGCATTAGAATGGAATGCAGTCTTTAATCCCAACAATCCATATAGAAAAATGGTATCTTACCTGTGCCAGTCATAAGGTGCTTTACCCGAACCTGATTTCTATATGGACTGATAAAGTGATAATACAACTTAAGATGTACCCTTACCTGTGTTGGTTATAAGGTGCTTTACTCGTGAGGTGCTTTACTTTACCTGAGTGATAATACAACTTAAGATGTACTCTGACCTGTGTTGGTCGTAAGGTGCTTTACTCGTGAGAATACAACTTAAGATATACCCTTACCTATGTTAGTTATAAGGTGCTTTACTCGTGAGAATACAACTTAAGATGTACCCTTACCTGTATTAGTTATAAGATGCTTTACTTGTGTGGTGCCTCACTTTACCTGAGTGATAAGACAATGTAAGGTGCTTTGCTCGTCGTGTGGTGCCTCACTTTACCTGACTGATAAGACAACTTAAGATGTACCCTTACCTGTGTTAGTCGTAAGGTGCTTTGCTAAGACAACTTAAGATGTACCCTTACCTGTGTTGGTTGTGAGGTGCTTTGCTCATCGTGAGATGCTTTACTTTACCTGAGTAATAAGACAACTTAAGATGTACCCTTACCTGTGTTAGTTGTGAGGTGCTTTGCTCGTCATGTGGTGCTTTACTTTACCTGAGTAATAAGACAACTTAAGATGTACCCTTACCTGTGTTAGTCGTAAGGTGCTTTGCTCGTCGTGAGATGCTTTACTTTACCTAAGTAATAAGACAACTTAAGATGTACCCTTACCTGTGTTGGTCGTGATGTGCTTTGCTCATCGTGAGATGCTTTACTTTACCTAAGTAATAGGACAACTTAAGATGTACCCTTACCTGTGTTGGTCGTAAGGTGCTTTGCTCGTCGTGAGATGCTTTACTTTACCTGAGTAATAAGACAACTTAAAATGTACCCTTACCTGTGT